TTCAAATTTGGCCTTTGTCACATTTTGAAGTCATAGGTAAAGATTCATCAGAAAAATATGTGGCAAAGCATCTGTAGACTTCTTGATAACGTACCTCAGTGCATTGTACAAAATCTTGCATGTGTTTATTGTGTCACTGACCATCTGCACAGCCTGCCCTTTCAGACATTTTCTCTGTCTCTCCCTGATGAAGTTTGGACTCCAGACAAGGTCTTGTATGGATTTTTCTGTCCTCAGTTGGGTGAGGAGTGGGAAGGCTGCAGTCCTTCATCAGCAACACCTCGGAAACATAATATTTATTTTTTTTACTTAAATTCTAATGCATCCTGGACACTTAGAGGAGACAGTAATTAGTGTCATACTTCACACATACAGATACAAGCCTAAACAGATGAAAAGCCTTGACAGAGACTAGAGTTAGCCCAGAGTAACTCTATCACCCCCTTCTCAGGAAGGGCATTGTGTGGGCATCAGGTCCTCGGCATCAGTTCCTCAGCATCAGCCCTCTTGCTCTTCAGATCCCTTCCCAATTACTTCTTGCTCATGTAGATACAGACAGTCTGCAGTGAAACTAAATAATTGATATTTTAAAAAATACATTTACTCTAAACTGTCAGGGAAAAATGTTGAAAGGTCTGAGGACACTTCTACTAGTTAAAAAGAGTTTGAATATCCTACAATGCAAAAATAAGTAAGAGTTTTCCTAAATAGGTTAATTCATTTTTTATATATATTATCAGTATCAAATATCACAGTCTTATTGGTGAAACGATGCTTTCCTTGCTTTCCTGACTTTTCTTGCTATAGACAAACTAATAATTTCTCTCAAGTATATAATTACTGCTTCAATATTGCATTATACATGATTTTATTTTTATGAAGTTTTAGTTGACTGTACTTGTCAAAGAAGAAAACAGATAACACGGTTCTGCCTTCAGCTCCTTTGCAGCTCTACTGAGGATGCATTTGTTTGATTCATCCATCTATAAAATCTCAGATTTCACTAAGAGCATCTAAAAAATTTAAAACCTGCTGTGCTTTCAGTTAACTTGCAATATTTTTTCAAAAACAGCATGGGATTTCAATTGAATAACAGGATGATGTATTTTGAACTATACTTATTATGTTGGCTAATACCCCTGGAACTGCAAAAAGAAGGACTCAAAAGAGCAGCAAAGTGAATAGATCTATTACTTTTAGTGCACAATTAATCTTGTTGACATTATTTTATATGAACATGGATAAAAATGCCCAGAAAGCATACCATTGAATTCCACTGCTCATTAATATTGATCAAATGTTGTTGTTCTCTTTGTGTTGGAAGCCACTTAAAGATTACCTGCAAAAGTATTACAGCGTTATTGATCTAAAAAAACCAAATCCCTGCAGTCCACTGCTTTTTGAAAATCAGTTGACAAGTTTGAGGTTTTATTTTTTTGGTAAAGAAGAATGTTTTTGAACTTGTTGCTATAGATCTGAGTAACCAAGAATATTAATCAGATTGTCAGGGCATTAATTATCCAGCACTCAATGCAATGTTATTTAAAAGCCTATAAGTACCTATGGAAGTTAGTTGGGACCTTTCATCATAGAATCATAGAATGGTTTCAGTTAGAAAGGACCTTCAAGACCTTCGAGTTCCTATCCCCTGTCACGGGCAGGGACACCTCTCACCAGACCAGGTTGCTCAAAGCCCCATTCATCCTGGTCTTGAACACCTCGCTCGACTTGCTGACCATGCTGCTTTTGATACAGCCCAGGATGTGGTTGGCTTCCTGGGCTGTAAGCACACTGCCAGCTCATGTTGAGCTTCTCTTCAACTAACATCCCCAAATCCTTCTTTTCAGGACTGCTCTCAATCTATTTTCTGCCCAGCCTGTATTTGTGCCTAAGATTGCTGTGACCCAGATGCAGGACTATGCACTTGGTCTGGTTGAACTTCATGAAGTCCACCTCTCAAGCCTGTCCAGGTCCCTCTGGATGGCATCCCTTCCTTCCAGCATGTCGAGTGCACCACAGATCTTGGTGTCATTGACAAACTCGCTGAGGGTGCACTCTGTCCCACTGTCCATGTTACCAACAAAGACGTTAAACAACACTGGTCCCAGTACTGACCCCTGAGGAACACCACTCTTCACTGGTCACCACTTGGATATGGAGTCATTTACTGCAACCCTTTCAGTGCTGCCAGACAGCCAGTTCCTGATCCACTGAGTGGATCCATCAAATCAATGTCTTTCAATTTAGAGACCAGAATGTCATGCGGGACAGTGTCAAATGTTTTGCACAAGTCCAGGTAGAATCTTCGTCTGGCAGAAGTGCCTAAATCTTACATACTATTTTTGATGCTTAAATGGAGTGATAGTAGGATTAAGGCCCAGAATCTTCAAGACAGTTAAACCTGCATAATTTGCATAAGGGGTCCTGTAGAGTCAGTAAAAAAAAAAAGAATCATATGCTTGAAGTTTCATACAATTTAAATATCCTGAAGGTGTATGAACTCAGAGTATAGTCCTCTGGAGAATTAGGAGAAACAAGGTATGGTGATACAGGCTTTTAAAGTCTCCATCATTCATTCTTTTAGAATGCAGATGAGTCTAACCCATGTCGTTTTTAGGAAATGAATGCTAACTAGTGAAAATTGGATGATTGTTGTTTACTAGTTTCAGTGCATTTAATTAGGATGTTTCATTGCTCTCAAAATCATTTTTGAACAACCAATTTCTATTAACAAAAAAAAAAAACCCAAAGCAAAATTACTCATCATTTAAATTGAGAATACTGCTATTATATGTCTATGACCAAATAACAGCTATAATCAGGCAAAATAAAAAGTGTACATATTGATGGTGTGGGGTTTTTTTTTCAGTAGGAAGGCATTGTGGAAGACTAAGATTAGTTAGAAATACTAGCATGCACAGTATATTTATTACTGTGCACCTCAAATGACCTTTTAAGCCTTTGTACTGATCTGAAAAATGCAAAATCTAAAGAAAATCAATGAAAGTATGCTGAACATGTGCTTAACAAGCCATATGGAGAAAGCAGCAAGCAAAATGAGAAAGCAATTATTAAAAGATTTGTTGTTCTTGTAAGATTAGAGTTCCGCTTGCATAGAAATAATTAACATATGAGGCTACTTGCAGGTACACCCCTAACTGCAGAACTATGATAGACACTTAAAAAAAATGCATAGCTCATATTCATTGGGACACCAAAAGTGCAAATTTTTAAGCAGCTTTCCTCCCAAAATATTACAGAGGAGAAATGTCATGAAGAGAAGCTGTGATACTTGAAAGCCATGAGTCTTTTTTGACTTGTTAAAGGAGTGATATATGTTGCCTGGAATTAAGAATGTAGTGTACCATTACATTTAAATTGTAATGCAGAATGTGGACGGGAAAAAGCCAAAAGGTAATAGTCAGTCACTTCTGTTTCATTTTCATTATTTTTGCCTTTTTTTTTTTTTACTACTGATTTAGAATAAGCTACTATATGAATACTATATATGAATGAATACTATATATTCATGTCTTTTATTTATTGAGTTCAGTGAGATATATCTCATGCTTAATGATGCACACAAGCATAACTTCTGCAGGATTGTGTCCTGGAATAGGCCAATGATGTAAGTTGCAATAGAAATGTGTACATGGACAGTTTCTCAAATTGCTATAACCACCCTGGCATTTATAACTGGGGAATGAGTTCTGATATCCTTGTCATTCCGTTAATTTTTATCTTTTGCAAATTAATATTTTCTTAGAGTGCAGTTTTCATTAATGTGACATTCTGAATGAATGCAGTGGTTGTAAACATCTGTCAAACGTTGGGTTTGTAATTGAAAACATAAACTTATAGGAAGACCCTCAGAAACATTAAATTTATAGCTCTTTTAAGTTTAAATCATTCAATTCCCAGTGCTGATTATCAGTAAATTATGCTGTGGAAAGGAGTTTTCTGGGTTTGGTGGTGGTTTTTTTGTTTTGGTTTGGTTTGGTTTTTTTTGTTTCAAATGCAATTTTATGTGGGTGAATAATTATGACATTGCATTCCAGTAAAGGAAGATTAACACCTTTCTGAGTACATAGCAAAGATTGCAAATAATATACTTTATACTAAATTCACTAACCATTTCACAGACAAACTTGCACATAAGGTTTTCCAATCAATGATTACCAGTTCTTTAAAGTAAGATTGGCAAAAAAAAAAGTCACCAAAATGCTAAAGTGTTTTCTTCTGGTAGGAGGCAGGTTACAGGTAATATTACTAAGGTAATATGATGTAAAAGGCTTCTAACACGTGCTGTTAAATGAATAAACTTTAGACCTCCGTACCTGCTATTTAAAGGTATGTATAGTCATTGGAAATCTAACAAATTAGATTTCACTACTGAAATTTTAGGCATCCTAGCAAGTGGAGGGAAAAAAAGAGACAATTTAGTCAGAAGACCTTTTTGAAATCAGGTTGAAGTGGATACCCTGAAAAGCCACTCAGTAAGAAAGGAATAGTTGGTTTAGTAGCTGCTAACTGCTGGCCCAGATAGGCACATATTCAGAAAGTCCCCCAAAGCCATAGCAAAGATCTCCTCAAACTACTAACTTGACATGTAGTGATTATTCAGGGATATTGTACATGTCACTCTGTACATGATAGGCACTTTTGATTAACACATATTTCCTCAGTGGTATAAAAGTTAGAATGTCTGTTATCTTTAATAGGAGAACAAGATTTAGCTTCTCTGTCTCCTGTCTTCTCTTACATTAAAAAATAATGTTGTGATTAATGAGTAGTGACATGCTTCATATTTTTTCTTGTTCATAAAAATCTGTGCTGGCAAGTTATCTGAACTAAGTGAAGGGTATATTTTAGTGGTTTAGTGGAATATTAAGGTCTACATAAGAGATTTTATTTCTTTAATGAATTCATATAAATGTAAGAAATTATTATGGTTGTTATTATGTATGTTTACACATTTTTCCCTTTTTCCCCTCTCTCAGGACCCTGCCTTCCTAACCCGTGTCATAATGGTGGGATATGTGAAATCAGTGAAGCGTACCGAGGCGACACATTCATAGGATATGTTTGCAAATGTCCAGAGGGATTTAATGGGATTCACTGCCAGCACAGTAAGTTCCATATGGTAACTTTTATTGTGTTTATAGATAGGAGCTGTTTTATTGCTTGTAATGTTGAGGATTAATATCAGATTTGCTTTCCTGAAGTATATCAGTGTTTGGCCTTTATATTATGAGCAAGCTAAAACTAGTGAATACTACTACTATGTTCAGAAAATGACCTTATTTCCAACTTAGTGGACACAACAGTACATAATTTGCTATGCATACTCTAGAGCAGGGTAAGAAAAGGTAACCACATCTAGCATGGATTAAATGGAAATTGTTGGAAGCTTGCAATTGTTTGTGGGTTTCTTTTGATTAAAGCTAGACGAAAGTGGAAAGAATAACAGAAAAGAAATTTGTGTATAAATAAGTCTTCTAGATCTTTCTTTACCTAAGCATTTATAAATTACAAATAAATGTTTTGAATCACAATACTTAAAATCAAGAGTAGAAGTTCCAGACTTAAATCAGATGGACATTTATTCCTGCCTAAAATATAGGATCTTTTGATAGTCATTATCATTTTTCTGAAGATTTTTTCCTGGTTTCGGGTCAGACTGGAAACAGCAGGTCAGTATCCTAGTGTAGTTGCAGAAATGACAAATAGTCATGTGGGGAAAAAAATCTTGAGATTTCGATAATATTTCATGGGGTGGATTAATAGTAAGATCCACACTTCACCAACAAAAATTTTAATCAGTAAATAGACATTGCATTTTTGTGCTTATACTGAAAGTTATAGGTCATTTTTCTCCACTTAATGGAATCAGAAGTTCTGTGTGATCAAAATGAAATAGTGAGAACTATGCACATATATTTGCAGGTGACTGACTAGATCCTGTTCTAACCTATCAATGCAATCTGCATTATCTGTTTATCACTTAAGTAGAAGCTGGGATTTTGTCATATGCAAAAGTCGTTTAGAACAAGTGCTTGCCTAAGGAGAAACTTGTGTGCCAAATTCGTGTTTTATTTTGTGCAATAAAGCACGGCATGGTTCTTAAAATGTCATGTTATTGATGCATTTGGAAACCAACTGTTACTCAGTTAGAAGGTTAAAAACTCAAACAAACAGTCAAGAATCCACTTGCATTTTTACATGGAAGATAAATCCACTCATTTAAATCAGAGTGAATGAGCACTGAATCCAGTCTACCTTATTTAAGTGCTCCATTTAGATACTTATCTATAATTTGAAGTGTCAGAAACCAATACAGTCCAGCTCAAATAACTAGTTATGTTCATTATGTCCTTTATATACTCAATGGGAGTGTCTCCAAAGACCTGAATATGGATATTCAATTTCATTAACTTTGGCCACACTCTCTCTCAGTTAATTACGTAGGTAACATAGGCAGTCCCACTAACATAATCTAGTTAAATTATGTGTCTACCTTCTCCACTAGGAACACAGAAATGCTGGATATTATCCACTCCTTTGGGATCTGTTCTGTCTAGTCCCCTGGGTTCATTCAGGGGATGACCATCTAGTGGAGCCGACTGCCAGCAACAGTCATACTTCCTTTTGTTTTAATGGTCATATCATTAGAGCACTCAGTCAAGAATTCATACTGTAATCATGATGGCAAGGCATAATCTTTGCCAACTTTTAAAACATGTAACGAAGAGTTCAAAAGTCTTGAGACTGGGAAAGCAGGCAAGATTATGTCTAGCTATAACCCAAAATTAACTGTAGCTTAAAAATTGTACCTCAGACAAATTGTCACTGCAGTACGTTGTTGTTCCCAACCCCCTTCCTTGTACTTGCATGCATTTTACATGAGTCTGCCAGCCAATAAGTGAAGCAAAAGTCATTGAGAGTGAAAAGACAGGAAGACCTTTATCCCTGTGACTGCTGTGGTGAGGGTACAGGCAGACACACTTTTGTGCGCCATTGGTGCGCAGTCATACAGAAGAGCTCATATGAAAACATCATCATGTGGCCTAACATTCTTAGGCACGCTTCATCATGGGACCAGTCACATAATCAACATAATCCTTCCATTATCTGTCAGAGACGTGACCTTTGTTAAGGATGCAGCGAAGTGAGTAACACCACAAATTTTCATCAAGCAAATTGCATGCTTAATAATGCTGTCTGCAAAATTGCATCTCTTATTACCTAATTAATGGAAGAAAAGCATGCAGCAGTGCATTATGGAGTGATATTATGTCCCCAGTATCATTTAAAAAATATTCAGGTATTTAACATTTAGCTAATGAACATGATAATCAGCAAAGTGTGCTTTGCTTCAGAATAAAATAGACCTCTCATATGGGTCATTCAGACTCTCTGTGGGGAGACTGGAACCCAGGAAGGCAGCTAAAGTGATGTGAGATAAGACAAGTTTATGTGAACAGTTACTCTTTGGGGGACAATGAAATTCAGTCACTTTCAGATAGTCTGATTTAAGGTGTGGTAATAAATCCTATGCAATACACAGGTGTTCAGAGAGTCTCTAAGAATGCGTGCTATGAGAAGCAGCAGAGGAGGTCTCTGCAATCAGGAGGAAGTATGGTACTTCCAGTGGTGGACTTAATATAACTCTTTCATATCATATCCCTTTAGCTCATTTCACAAAGCTCCTTTGATACAAATTCCTCTGCTTCATAAAGTTGAGCACTTCAATTCTGAACTCACTGTAAATCAAGCAAGAAGTCTGTCAAAGTAGTTCCATTGTAAAAAATCGTAAATTAAAATGACCTCATTGCAAGACACGTACCTTCATCTAAACTGTTAAGATTTCAAAAAATCACATTATATTTCTCTTGTACAGGGTATTTTATCCTGGATTTCTTTCATGTCTAATATTCTGTTGCTAAATCAATTAAGCTAGGTGATTGATTTTGCAGTCGAAATACATTCCCCAAGCTGGTATTCTGTCATTCACATCAACAAATATCCTGTCAATATTTCTGAGATTCCTTGACCTTTTACCCATGTAAATAATTGATATGTAAATTATAAAAGAGATCATTAGCTATTGCTCTGATTGTATATTCTAGATTTATTGCAAAACTGATATTAATTGACAATGATTGTCTGAAAAGATTCTGATTCTCCAGTGACAAAAAAGGAAGGAAAGTTTCCCATTTCAGTGCTCGTAAACAAACCAATGTTTGGCTAGGAAAGTCTACCTTGGAGAGAAAACCTGGGTAGATTTTTGTGGTGACACCCAACAACAACAACTCTTTTAAATATCCCTCCCTTATATAAGAAGTATTTACTTATCTGAAGATTCTCCCCAAACACTACCCAGGTTACAGTTAGTCATGCTGTTAATGTATGGCAACCTGACTTTCAACCGTACTATTGACAGCATCTAGCAACAAGGAGAGAGAACGTGTTTGCAAGGACTACCTTGAGGCAAGGCAAGTCTCCCAACAGTCTCACTGCACCAAGCAAGCAGCTCTTCCAAGGAGTAACTTAGAGCACATCAGTTCCTGAAAATGGCATACAACTCTTGCCTAGGAAGGCTAGGGTGTCCTCTGTGGCAGGGAAGTTCATTTGTAAAGAGCAGCAAATGATTTTGTTCCTACAGGATCACTTTGACTGAAAGCCTTGTCATTCACCAGAAAGCAGCATGTAATCACTGGGTGCGTTATAATTCCCTTCTCTTTAACCATGAATTTCAAGATAGTCAATCTTCTGAGATCTATGCAGCTTGTATTGGAAAAGCCTACTGCTATTCATGAACGAGCATCCGCTGTTAAACCATTATCAGCCTCACTAATCATTTTTCATATGATAGATGAAAATGCTGGACAAATTGCTGTTCAAATTGCCTTCATCTACATATAGAAGGATTATACTGTCACTTATTAGAACAGCTCAGAAATACAATTCTGCAGAACAAGTCAAAATCCATGGAAACACCAAGACTGAAATGGACAGTTTTTCTACAAAATATATTCCATAACATTGGGATATATAGACAATACACATTATTGTGTTTATCAGATAGGTTGCCTGCTGAAAACATAGAAAACAGGGGCATTAGTAACAATACATGTCGAAGTGTGGGTTACTGCACAGCTAACTGAAATGACACACAGATCCAACCAAAGAAAATCAAGTTAGAAATAATAAAGAGTTCAGATTTAAGGGTTTGATTTGCATGTGGTTTAATATGCTGAAGAGCATTAACTCTGTCAGCCATAACTAAATGCCTTGCACTCCAAGAAGAATAAAGGTTATTAATCAAACACATTTAATAATGTAAGCAAGCCCTTCCCAGTGTTTATACAGACTTCTCTGCTTTCTACCTTCCCATCATAGATGATTTGTGCTGTCTGTATATGCTACATTAACATATTGGGAAACTGCACAGGTGGGGACCACATCACAGAGTGTCATATCACATTTTGGTAGGCATCATCCCAACTACCTGGCTTTTAACTGTGGGTTTGCAGCTGGGAAAGGCCAGTGGCCAGGCCTTTCTGGCCAGCTGACATGATGCATAATCTACAGCTTCAGCTCTACCAGCAGGTTCAAATCCTAGTAACTTTTCCAGGTACCAGGAAGAAATATGTGTGAGGAAGCTGTAGAACATCCTGTGCCATGGATTTTCTGTGTTACAATGAACGAGTGCTTTTGCTAAACCATTCCTGGCTACAGTTTGGTGGTAGAACACTCCAGAAACCATTTGCCACAGGTAGTTTTCAGGCAGCTGCCTTATTTGGGAGGCTAAAACCAATTATATCTTGCACAGATGCAGCTTGTTCCAAGCCAAAGGAGCCCCTAGATAAGTGGGCAAATCTAATCTACTAGGGTAGACACAATTGCACCATACCAGATGTTCATCCCATGCTTCTGCTGATGAGCACTCACTATGGCTTCCCCTTTATTATCTCTTTGGGACTGGAGAGTTCTAGATCTAACCCAGCTGTTACTTTTTATTTTGTGCGAGGGTGTCCATTAGCTATTTGCATAGTTTTAACAAATTACGCTAGCAGTGAATTATATAATGTAGTAGCAATAAGCTATATGGTATAGTAACAGTGAG